CTTTTCTTGTCTCTTGGCTAATAAACCAACATCCTCGTCTTTATCCTTTTCCATCTGTGAAATCTCTTTCGCAAGATATAGGATCTGATCCTGTCTATATTGCTCAAAAGCTTCTGCAAGGTGTTCGAATTTGACGTTGTTTGCTTGAACCCAGAACCGTGCTATAGCATTGGTCATCATCAGTTTCATCTTCCACGTTTAATTCTCTATGAACGTCTTGGAATAGGTCATAATCTTTCTTTTGTGCCAATAGCTCGGTGATTTGTAGTTCTGCTAAAGTGTTGATGGTGGAAACTGGGTTCGCCCAGACGCTTTCCAATGTGGTTTCAATTTTTCTGTTTTTTTTCGTTTAAAATAGGGGTGTTTGACTGGGTGGCGTCAATAGAAACAAGTTCTCTTTCATCTGTTTCCAGTTTGTTAAGTGTTGTAGGAGGGACTGATGATGTATTGGTGTCAAGCCCTTTGTCCCTGGCCTTGTTCCAACTCTCTAACGTGCTCTTTTCGGCAGCTTCGAAGTGTGCAAGTTGTGTCCCCCCCTCGATTTCCATTTTTTCTAATTCATCTGAAACATCACCTTTTTCATCCGTTTCTTCCGGAGCTGGAGTTAGATCTTTGTCCTTACGTGGATCATACTCTTGGCTACTGTTTTGATGGTGTTGGTTGTTTGACATAACAGGAGTTGCACTTTTTTTTTTTTTACAAATAGCAGCAGATTGCAGCACTTAGTTTCACGTATGGTCACCCACTACATTACTCGGTCAGGCTCTCAGCAGGTTAACTACTGTTGATCGGACGGGGAACGGTGCTTTCTGCTGGATATGGCCGCAACCTGAACGATGAATTGAAATTTAATTGTAATTAGCCAAGGGAGCCCAACACGCATTGAAATATTTCTCAACTGAAAAAAAAATCTATGATTGATTGTTAGGTCCAATTATTTTTTTTCTCGTTCTAGATTTACTACTGGAGAAGTTCTCATCACCCATCTTAAGTGTTAATTGGAAAGGAAGAAGTAATGCTGGATATTTATAGTATTGACAAATTGATAGCAGATGGAGATATCCCTTATGAAGAAGCTATAAGTAAAGATCCAATTAACCTATAAAGTTGTTTATCTTATTTAAAAGATCTGACTACTAATCAATCAGCATCCATCGCAGTCCATAAACAAGTTTTCATTTTACATCGAGCAACCATTCCTCATTCCAAACAATTATGGCAGACGTATATAAAACTATTACTTGATCATTGCAATCAGCTAAACTATACATCCCATAAAGATCAATTGCATAATATCAACAAAATATTCGAACGAGCGATTACCAGTTTGTTGCACGTGCCAGAAGATGCCCTCTTTAACATTTGGAAACCATTCCTTGAATTCTTAATGAAGACTCAAGGACCTTTAATAAATGTCTGAGGGGTTTATCATTGAGATCAGCATAAACATATTTGGCCTGTGTATTTAGAATGTGCTGATTTTGTTGGTGGACTCACTGCCATCAAAGTATATTCCAAGTATCTACAATATTTAGGTCCTCAAATGTTAAAGGGAGTCAAGGATCATGAAGGAAGTGGGCCTAGTAATCTGGAAGATTTTATTTATAAATTTATCGAGTTTGGCGCCAGCAAAGAACACAATTTGAAGTTGTGCCAACTCATCTTAAGTAAACCTGATGATTGTCTTGGATTACCCAAATCTCCAGTACAATATTTATTCGAATATATTGATATATTAATAGATTCCTGAATCCCAGAACTATATTTTGAAGATATTATACAAGATTCCATTGCACAATTCCAAGATCAAATCGCCATCTTGTACCTGAAATTATCCGCCTTTTATAAACAGCGAGGAAATCCGGAAAAGGTACGATATTATTATAACAAGGGTTCGAAAGAAAGCTTGACTGTACAAGATTTCATAATGATTTATGATAATTATACTGAATTTGAAGAACAAGAATTAAATATCAATTAAAATTGCAAACACAGTGAAATAGATATTCCAGTACCCCGTTCTTTAAAAGAGAAAAATACAAAATGAAGTATCAGCGTTGCTTTATTAACTATTATTTCCAGAATCAATAAATTTCAGTCTCCTTTAAATCATAAATCATAAATTACTCTCTATATATATAATGCCAATTATATACATCGGTAGTATACATATACACATATTATTTTACTATTCAATTGTACTTATAGGACACACTTTATTTCATTTCATATACCACTCAAGTAAAGAATAAAACAATCAATACCAGCCAATAAACATATTAATGCATCTGTAATAAATTACAACTGGGCTGCATGTTCCCTCTCATTCAAATCCTTCAGGTACACCCTTGGCGTGTCTAACACCTTCTCGATTGCCAGCATATAATTCAATCTCCCCAACTTCGTCATGTGACATACTTATCCAAGGGATCTTGCCCCCTTCAATCAATTTCACTAATCTATAAGCTTGAACAGAACTATATGGAATACCAGTAGTTGGATCGAAATATTTAACTTCTGTTCCTGAGATCATACATGGTTTTCTATTATTATTAGGAAGATATAATCCACTAGGTGGTTGGGTCTTTAGTACAATCTCATGACTTTCTTGTTGTTCGGTATCACTGATCTCTTGTATTGTATCCTGTTTAACACCCAATTTGGGCAATCTCTTTAATTCATCAAAAATTGCGCTGGATTCAGATATATTAGTAACTGGCTCAAATAAAACATCATCTTCAGGTGGTGATTGTTGTTGTGCTCTAGCATATGGATTTTCGGTTTTTCCGATATGCAATATCGTTTTCCCATCTTTGAATCGACGCATGGCAGGAAGGAGAGATTGTTTTCCAAATAAGAGTCGTTTAAGATTCGTCAGATTATTCAATCTAAATTCACGTCTGTCTTCGTCGAAATCAAGGAGGTAGATAGTATTTTTCCATACTTTCTGAGGAGGACCTTCAAAGATCTCTTTTGATTTTTGGTCTTCTTCCTCTTGTTGTTGTTGATCTATTTTGAGAATCGGAGTTGGGGTTGTTTCTGGTGAAATTGGAGTGGGCTCGATTGACATTGAATCGTCTATCTCATCGGCGAATTTAACATGCTTCTCTTCTTTGATCTCATTTGGGACTTCTTCTACTTTCACTGAAGTTGCGGTTTCGGTTTCGTCGTTCTCAACCTTTATGGGGTCTAATGGTGGTTCTTCATCGGGTTTTAAACTATCGATCAGTTGATCCTGTGATTCCTGCTGGTCGTCCTTCGTTTCGATTTCTTGGTCAACATCCATATTCGAACCTGATTGTACTTCAGCTGTGTGTTGGATATCTTCCATTTCAACACGTTTTGAACTATCATTGTTTTCTAAAATACTGTCGCCTTCGATTTTGTTTTCCTGTTGAGCATTCTCACTAACATCTGGCTCCTCGTCTTTCTCCAATGCTGCCAATGTCTCTTCAGTTTGCTCCTTGTTTGTCAAGGCTGTCTCTCCTTCGTCTTCCTCAATTTGCATATCCTTTGAAATATCATTATCTACTAAGATATCGTCAGATTTATTATCTTCATGTATGTCATCGGACTTCTCCAATGGGGTTTGCTTGTCTATACTGTCGGCATCCCCATTTATAGAAGTTTCCTGTTCACCTTCTGCGGAGTCCTTGGATTCATTTGCACTTTCTTCGTTGCTTTCTTCTTGAGATCTCGGAGCATTTTCGCCATCAATTGTTTCAACTTCATTCTCATTTTCTTGTTCAACCTTCAAGCTCTCTTCTGCTTTTTGTCTCTCTTCTTCTTGTCTGATTCTTTCTTCTTCAATTTGTCTTAATTTCTCTTCTTCCTCTTGTATCTTTCTTTGCTTTTCCAATTCTTCTTTCTGGAAAGGTAAATCATAATTAATATCAAAAGGTATTCTAATCTTCGGATCTTCTTGTCCTCCATCTTCAACATCCTTCTTTTTCCTACCAAATTTCCGCTTCCCCTTTAAACTCTTTTCAAAATCCTTTCTAGCTTCCAAAACCTCTTCAATGGGACTTATAAATGTTTCTTTACTTACAAATCTAATTACATTGTGAAGCTTTACTCTCTTGGCAAGTAATAGTTGTCGTTGTCTCTCCTTTTTAACAACTTCTTGTTCTCTAAATCGATTCAAAGCCTCAATATTCAATCTTTCTGTCTCAACAGCTTCTGCTAATCTTTGTTCTTGGGTTAATTCGACATGTTTTTTGCGTACTATGGGAGTGAAATGGGCTCTTCTTTCTTCACTTTCTTTAAGTTTTTCAATTAGGGCTTGTTTATTCTCGACTGCTGCTGAACGGGATGAAGATCGTCTTTCGGACATTAACAATGATTGGGAGGTTATTAATGCCGAGCGTCTTTTTAGCTTAGTCTTGTCTTTAGTAGTAATTGTAATTGACGGTGATGGTTTGGCTTTTTTGATTGCTGGGATTAATGACTGTTTTAATTTCCGTCGTTTTTTCTTTTCTTGACGTTGTAATTCCTTTTCACCTTCACTTTCATCTGAATCTGATGCTGATATTTCTGAATCTGATAAGTTTTCATCTGAATTTATCATCATACCTTCATCTTCTTCATCTTCATTGTCTTCATGTACGCGTTTCCGCGAACCATCTTCCTCCTCATCTTCCTCCTCCTCTTCTTCTTCGCTTTCGTCAATGCCTATGAGATTGGCATTATCTATATCTTCATCTATGAATTCCTCATCATCTTCACCATCTTCTTGAAATAGTAAATTGACATTCTCATCATCATCATCAATAAATTGTAGTTGTTGTTGTTGTTCATTTCCTTGTTCTTCTAGTTCTATTAATTGCTTCAAACGAGATCCTGCATTTGGTCTTCTTGCTCTAGTTGCTACTAGACTATCTGAATCCATTCTGATCTGATATGATATCTTGTTGCTTTAATGAAAAGGAAAAACAAATGATATAATTTCGGAATAATTCTTAAATTTTCCAGACAGACAGACAATTAAAAATTGAAACAGGGATTCAGACAAAAAAATTTCAGACAAGAATTTCTCTCGTGGTATGGTCAATTGATTGATCTTGTTGGGTAGGAACAGCAAAAGAACTCCAAAGGAGATGATACGGAGATCAATGGTAAGAGGAAACCAACGTGTTTCTCGATGTTTATTCCATACTAGTAGACAAGTATTCCATATCCATGAATCCAAATTAACTTCCAGTTCATCAAATGAAATGAAACATTTTAATGAATTAGCCAGTAGTTGGTGGGATGTTAATGGACCACAAAGAATTTTACATAAAATGAATTTATTAAGAATGGATTTCATTCATAATACAATACGAAACAATCTCAAGTTAAACCAGGGAATCACTAAAGAAGATGATCGAGTTTATATTCCACCATTTAACGTTGATTTATTACCTTCAATAATTAAAAATAGAATTATTGAAGAACAAGAAACAAGAAGAGATGAGTTATTGAAGGATGCTAATTGGAAAGTATTAGATGTTGGATGCGGTGGTGGTATCTTATCTGAATCAATGGCAAGATTGTCATTTGTTAATCTGGTTAGAGGAATTGATTTATCAAAAGATGTTTTAGAAGCTGCTAAATTACATAAATTAAAAGATCCAATATTAGCACTGAAATTATCTTATGAATTAATGCCAATTGAAGATATCCCCGTGGAAGAAAAGTTTAATATAATTACCATGTTTGAAGTATTAGAACATGTAGATTATCCCAGTAGAGTATTATTAGAAGGATTAAAAAGATTAGATAAAGGTGGTTGGTTATTTATTTCTACAATTAATCGTGATTTTATAAGTTGGTTTACTACAATCTTTATGGGAGAATATGTTTTAAAGATTGTTCCAGTTGGTACTCATACTTTAGAGAAATATATTAATCAATCTGAAATTAAAGAATGGTTAGAAGAGGACGTAGAAAGAAAACAAAGTTTTAAAGTTGTTGACACTAAAGGGTGTGTATATTTACCTGCTTATGGTTGGAAATTTACTGATTGTGTTGATGTTGGTAATTATTTCATGGTAATCCAAAGAGTTAAATAGTTGTCTTGTATATATATAGTAATGCTATTAATTGGCTATCTTTGTTGCTGATTCAGGTTCTTCATCAATAAATGTTGGTAAATTCTCTACACCAGAAGATTCTTCATTTAAATAACTTGGTACACCAACTCCACTTTCTGCCATTTCATTTTCAAATTGAATTTCTTCACCTAAAGCTTCTAATTCTGCATCTAATTCAGATTCACTAATATCATCAGGTACATCATAACTTGTCAGTAAAGCTTCTTGTAATTCATTTGATTTATCAATTAAATCCAACATTTCATCTTGTAATGATTCTAATTGATCTATATCTATTTTCCCATATGTTTGCTTTAGTTGCTTGTTTGCCACCTTCATAGCATTTATCGTAACCATGGTATTTTGTAAATTATCAGTTGTCATTGAAGCTTGTGACATATTCCAAGATTGATTTTCAAGTTGATCTTTTTGAGCTTCAATTTGTTTCCGTTGACGTAATAACTTTAGAGCTTTTTGTTTTAATGAATTCTTACCTGGACCATCTCTCATTCTTGCAATCTTTTGTTGATAAGTTGATAATTCTGAATTTATTTTAGTTAATTTAACATCTAATGAACCAACTCTTTCATCTATAGATTTAACAGCATCATTTATTGATGGTTTAGGAATATTACTTTTAGTTCCAAATAGTCTGTTCATGGTGCTTACTCTTTTGTTTGTATATATGTGTACTAAGTACTATGTTTATGTTTTATAAGTTGGTGATTTACAAGTAGAATAAATTAAAGCGTCACTGATTTGATTTATTCACAGTGTTTTTCTCTTTTTTTTTGCCATCATATTCTTCATACAATATAGCAGAATCATTCATACTATGTGTATAAACGTTTGGTTAATAAGGGCCAGATTATTTTTAAGAACAGACTGCTCGGAAAGACAATTATATTAACAGCAAGGTATCAGGCAGTCAATTAGAATATTTCATATGTAAAAGTATACACTATACTTGTATAATTATGTAGAATTAGATTATAACTAATTTTACGGTGTATTTTCACTTGGTAGCGTTAAACATTACCCTGTATTCTTGTTATCAGCCGTCTTTTAAGCAGCAGCAGCAGCAGTGCAATATTTTAAAGGGGACTTACTGGGTCGTTATCAAGAACAGACCAGAGAAATATTTCTTGGTGGAAAGATCACCTGGAACGACTGCGCTTTGATAATCATTAATGGTAGTAGATTAACTGAAGAGGAATCTGCTAGGCATTTTGAATACTCGACCTGCCTCCCTCAGCCAGGTCAAAAGGTGTTGGAATACACTGACGACTACCGAAATATGGAAGGATTTCAATATTCTTTCCATATCTGTTTCGATACTCATTAATGTATTCCAATACCTTTTGAATATGGAAGAGCCACCAATTTCAACAACAAGGGAGTGGTTACAAACAACACAATGTTCTCTTTATCGAAGAAGTCCTTTCCCCAAGACTTCACTGGCACTAATTCTGTCAGGTAAAGGACTTCTTTGACAAAGTGAGTGAGTGTTTCCATTTGGAAGTGTTCCCTCAAAATGTCTTGAACATTTGTAATGTGGAAGTCGGATGGTAACTAATCCAAGACATCAGCATTCAGGAAATCATCGGACCAACTGGAATAACCAATCGGGAAATCATCAAGGTAACTGGAGTAACGGGAATTATCAGAACCAGGAGAACAATAAGCAATAATTCTTTTCCAGATGCAAGCTCTGCGGTAATCAGATATTTAGAAGGAATAAGAACCACTACAATGGTAACCAGGAGAATCAGCAGAACCAGCAATATAACTCTAACCACAAACCCAAGTACAGAACGAGGAAGGTCACAGGTAACTTTAAATATCAAGGAAAAAACGTGAATGAGATTCAATTTATGGAAGAAATTCCAGAAGATCACCCAGAAGGTTGTCAATGTGAAGTTACCGAAGAAGCAATGGGTTGTTGTGGTTGACGCCTCTCATGAAATGTATGAACAAGAATGGGATATCTTCGAGTTAGATGCAGATGCCGAAGGCACGTGACTATTGTTAGGCTCGCGTCCTTTCCATGTTCCCTTCTATTGGATACAGGAGCTGAAGCTAATTCCATTGATGGCAAGTTGGTGAACTTATTTCCGGAACATGAGGTAAATATTGAACACCGCTAATTGCGAAATCAGCTCTTAATGGGATCCAGTAAGGTGAATCTGGTATGAGTTGTCGACCTTTTCTGAATCGGCTGTTCCGACTATGATTACATGTAAATCTTCATTCTTGCTAAGCCATCTTCCCTTGTCCATTGGGAGACCTGGATCCGGTAATGTGGAAAAGTGGCAAGTGCTTTTTAATGGCTCTCGTTGCCTCGTTATAGGCAGCTTGCTTTTCCGGTCTTATAATTAGGCGGTGGTCCGCCATTGGTGTTGTTCTGATATTTTACCGTGGTAGGGTTTTGAGCAGCTTGGATCTGGAGATTTTGGACCATCTGGGTCAAATTATGTATGGCTTCACGATCACGGGCTTGTTGAAGTTGTTGTTGGAGTTGAGGCCAGCGTGCTGTAAAAAACATCGGCCTCTCTTACTTGCCCATGGAAGTTGTCTTCGATCTGCTCTCGCTTCATGTTGGAGGTTTTCTATGCCGGTATTTGTTGTTGTTGCCACTTCGTTGATTCTTTCATGTAAGGCAGCAATATCTTGACCATGTGTATTGCTAATCTGGCCACAACTAGGTCAACGAAATTGAGTATTCTATCTAACCGGTTCAAGGTCATGGCATGTGACATCTACATGCCACTCATGTTCTAGGGTTGCCGTTCTTGGTTGTTTGTTTTGGTTTTCTTTTCTTAGTATTGACCAATAAATTATTATTATGGCTTCAAATTTAAAAACTATAAAACTAGTTTTATCTTATCAGCCTTCTTTTTAACAATCCTACTATATCCGCTAGCTTAAGGATAAATCATCAGTTATGAGTTTTAAATTGAACTCCTATATAAACTAAAGTAAGGATACTAAAATCAAGCAGGTTACAGCAAGATTTTTAACAAAAAGCGAATATCTTCTAAACAAAACAATACTTAAAAAAAGAGGGCGAATCTTTAAAAACTTCGCCAAGCATCAATAACAATTTGTAATAATCATAACTTGGATATAGAATACTTGGTTATCTGGCAAATAATAAAGTAAATAAAAATTAATAAGAATCTCGGCGTCAATAAATAAGAAAATCAAATGTTAAGAACGATTGTTCCTCGAACTATAAAGTTTAAAATGAGTTAGGATTTCATGCACGAAACTGGTAAATTGATCCATCTTGATTGCTAGATTTCTGTTACAACTAGGCGTAATATGACATCCTCAAATGTAATAGTTAGTATCAATAGCTATTGAGTCTTCAACTTTTTACTAGTAGAATTCTACAACGCATATCTAGTGTCCCTAAATCGTACGTTTGTTGCCCTCTTCCTCAGCGAACTATTCTCTAATTATGCTCCACACTATTGATATATCCATTTAAAACATCGTTCCAACTGAGAATGAATTTCTTAGATGGATTTTACTGCTTATTTCATACATCATATTTCGTT